AACTGATTTTGATCAAATGTATTCACTGCATTTAGTTCGTAGAACATCAAGGCTATATATAGCCAAAGTAAAGATAAGTAACATACTTCCTAGAATAGCTCAACAAATTCCTATTGTGTAGGCATACCTACACGTTTGAAAGCAACTAAAAGAAGTGCACAAATGACTCCACAAAATTAGCTAACAATCTTGGACTCAATCTTATTTAATTTAAATAGCAAAAAACGAATAGAGGAAAGATCATTTCTTTCCATGGTTTTCACGTATGCATGTTATTGCATGCATCACACGTTCGAAGCTTGGTCAGCTTTCAACACCTCCCCTTGATCCAAGCTTGCTCATTCCTATTCTTTCCATGAAGTACTGATGTTTGGCCTGATTCAAAGATTTTGTAAACAAGTCTGCATTCTGAAGATTGGTTCCACAGAACTTCACAACAATCTTTCCTTCAGCTACTAACTGCCTAATGAAGTGGTGTTGGACTTCAATGTGCTTTGTCCTTGCATGAAATACAAGGTTCTTGGTCATAGCAATGGCTGATTTGTTGTCACACCATAACTCTATGACCTCATCCTGATCATGCCCTAAGTCTTTCGGTAGTTTCTTTAGCCAAATAGCCTGCCTAGCTGCAGCACCTGTTGCAACATACTGTTGCAACATACCTGCTGCAACTGTTTCTTGCTTCTTGGAGCTCCAGGTGATTGCTCCTGATCCTAGGTTGAACACAGACCCTGATGTGCTCTTCCTATCATCCAAACAACCTGCCCAATCACTGTCAGTATGCCCAACCAGCTTGCAGGTCTTCACACTTTCATAGAGTAGCCCATACTCAAGTGAACCTGCAATATACTTAAGTACTCTTTTTGCTGCACCTAAGTGTTGTTTGGTTGGAGAGTGCATGTACCTGGATATCACACTCACACTGTAAGCTAGGTCAGGCCTAGTGTGAGTGAGATAGTTCAAACCTCCTACAAGAATTCTGAAAGTTCTTTCATCAGCATTACCAGTTCCATCATCCCTTTGCAATTTCTCACATATGTTCATAGGAGTTTTCACAGTTTCACTTTCCTCCACCTAGAATTTCTTGAGCAGATCCCTTGCATACTTTCTTTGACACAGGAAGATACCATCATCTCCTTGGTATACTTCTAGGCCAAGAAAGTACTGAAGTAAACCAAGATCAGTCATTTCAAATTGCTTCATCATAGCATACTTAAACTCTGCCAACATCTTACAAGAGGAACTGAAATATATAATGTCATCTACATAAAGGCAAACTACTATGAAATCATTTGTACCTTGCTTCTTTATGTAGAGTGTTGGTTCATTTTCACTTCTCTCAAACTTGTTTTCAAGAAAGAAGGGGTCAATTTTACCATACCAGGCACGTGGAGCTTGCTTTAAACCATATAAGGCCTTCTTCAGCCTATATACCTTCTCCCTTGCATCCTTTTTAATGAACCCAAGTGGTTGCACAACAAACACTTCCTCCTGCAGATCTCCATTAAGGAAGACAACCTTCACATCTAATTGGAATACTTTGAGTTCCATTTGAGCAGCTAAAGCAAGAACCACCCTCACAGTTTCCATTCTTGCTACAGGAGAGAAGGTTTCTTCACAGTTTCCATTCTTGCCAGGGGCGCTGCCCCTTGGACCCCGCAAGGGGGCGCAGCCCCCTTGACCCCCGCCATTTAATCGAACCAAGTTTAAATTTAATTTCGTACAAGTGTGCGCTCCGCACCTCCTAACTCCATTGGTAATCTGTAAATTTCATTACACTAAAATGAACCTGGTGATACTAAAATCACCAACAATCCTCCCCCATTTTAGTGTAACCATGAATCTACATAAACAAGAATAAGAGACAACCAAACTTATGCATACATGAAAATATCGAAACGATTGAATTTTCATATTAGTACATTACACATTCCAAATACTCGAGAATCAGGGTGTTCTAAGAATTGAACCCTTCAACCCATTTGAATACACGAAGATAACATACACTTAAGTTCAAATAAACAACTAGTTCAAAACTTTGACACTATTATTAAGCCGAGTGTCCCAATCCATTCATAATCGTATAAAAGTCAAGTCCCAACTTTTCGAAGTGCGGCTACACTTCACGATCATATAGGTAATTCATTTAATCATGTACCTGCTTACATTTTAACAAAGGAATTATTAAGAATATATATTCAACCCTTTTACTACAGGTCCGAACACACTAACCTGGGATGACAAAATGCATGTGTTCCATTCCTTAAGTATGAGCTTTCCTCATTGAATTCAACCTCTAATATTATATTAGAGGGGAATTGGGTGTCTCATCATTATGGAATTAAATGGACTTTAAACCCATCCCAATCGCAGACTTGTGCACTAAGTCCCTGGCCAGACCTTTAGTTAAATGATCCGCCAAATTCTGTTGTGATTTCACATACTCAACAGAAATTACACCCTTCATGATTAAGTCCCTAATCATACTGTGTCTAACACCTAAGTGTCTAGACTTCCCATTATACACTTGGCTATAGGCCTTAGCCAACGTGGCAGCACTATCACAACGAATAGAAATGGGTGCAATTGGCTTTGTCCATAATGGAATCTCAAAAACCAAATCCCTTAGCCATTCTGCCTCTTTACCGGCAGAAGCTAAAGCAACAAATTCAGACTCCATTGTTGAATTTGTAATGCAAGTTTGCTTCTTAGAGGCCCAAGAAATGGCACCTCCCCCAAGCAAGAATACCCAACCACTTGTAGAAGAATGATCTTCTAGGTGATTTATCCAGCTTGCATCAGTATATCCTTCTAGAACCGAGGGATATCCAAGATAACATATTCCATAATCCATGGTTCCTTTTAAGTATTTGAATACTCTCTGAATTGCTTGCCAATGTTGAGTACTAGGATTGCTAGTATACCGACTCAACCTCCCAACCGCGTAGGCGATATCCGGACGAGTGCTTGTCATGGCATACATCAAGCATCCTATGGCTTGAGAGTATTCTAATTGTGATATTGCCTTGCCTTTGTTTGGCATTAATTTGACACTAGGGTCCATGGGAGTACTCACGGGAGAACATTCACTATAATTAAATTTCTTGAGAATTTTCTCAACATAGTGTGCTTGCGTCATAGCAATTCCTTTGTTCAACCGCTTAATCCTAATACCAAGGATTACATCAGCCTCCCCCATATCTTTCATGGAAAACTTTGATGACAATAAACTTTTCGTTTCATCAACTTGAAGTTGATCAGTGCCAAAAATCAGCATGTCATCAACATATAGGCAAATTATCACACCACACCCAGTTGAATCAAACCGACTGTAAACACATTTATCAGATTGGTTTAGCTTAAAACCACTTGATAAAATAACTTCATCAAACTTTTGATGCCATTGTTTTGGTGCTTGTTTCAGACCATACAAAGATTTGACAAGCTTACACATTTTATGCTCATTACCGGGCATAACAAAACCTTCTGGTTGGTTCATGTAAATTTCCTCATCAAGCTCTCCATTTAAGAAGGCTGTTTTGACATCCATTTGATGGACAACCAGATTGTGGATGGCTGCCAAAGCAACCGACAATCTAATGGTAGATATCTGGGCCACTGGTGCATATGTGTCAAAATAATCAATACCTGGTTTTTGTTTAAACCCTTGTATTACCAAACGTGCTTTGAACTTATCTATAGTTCCATCTACCTTCATCTTCTTTTTGAAGATCCATTTGCAACCCAAAGGTTTAGAACCTGGTGGCAAATCACATAGCACCCATGTATTGTTTTCTCAAATTGATGATAATTCATCATCAATTGCCTCTTTCCAAAAGGTCACATCTCGGGATTCCATGGCCTCTTTAAAGGTCTTTGGATCTCCTTCAATACTGTAACAATACGAGTATTGAAATCCAACCTCATCCCTTGATCCTTCCACCAAATACAGCTGGAAATCGGAGCCAAAATTTTTAGCAATTCGAGCCCGTTTGCTCCTCCTGACCTCTTGGGGTTCCGGATCTGATATACCTTCTAAAGTTTCTGAAATTTGTCCTTCATTACTGTTAGAAATCAGATCCTTAGGCCTTGGGATTGATGAAAAACGCATTTCATCAAAAATCGCATCTCGCGACTCAATCACGGTATGTACAGAAACCGAATTATTAGGATCTATAACATAGAACCTATATGCCTTGGAATTTTCAGCATATCCTATGAAAATGCAGTCAATTCCCCTTTCTCCCAAAGTATTTATTTTGGGATTGGTTAGTTTGACAACTGCCCGACAGCCCCAAATTCTGAGGTAACTCAAATTTGGAGACTTTTTGAACCATAATTCATATGGGGTTTTCTTGTTCCTTTTATTTGGAACCCTATTCAAGACATAACATGCGGTAAGCATTGCCTCCCCCAAAAACCCTTACTCAAGCCTGAGTAAGACAACATCGAGTTGACCATTTCTTTTAAAACTCGATTTTTCCTTTCGGCAACACCATTCTGTTGTGGTGTATATGGTGCCGTGGTCTCATGGATGATACCAACTGATTGGAAATATTGGGTATCCATATATTCCCCTCCCCGGTCAGTTCTAAGACATTTAACCGGATTGCTTAATTGCAATTCCACCTCGGTTTTGTATATTTTGATATTTTGTAAGGCTTCATCCTTAGAATGCAACAAATACACATAGCAAAACCGAGTTGAATCATCAATAAAAGTTACGACATAATTTTTGTTGCCAAGTGAGGGAGTTGAATGAAAATCACAAAGATCACTATGAATCAATTCCAAAATTCCAGAATTTCGATTAATATTTTGAAAAGGTTGTCTTGTGATTTTGGTCAACATGCAAGTTTTACATTTTTCTGTATTAATATCAAAGGCAGGAATTGATCCATCTTTTGACATTTCGTGCATTCTTCTAAAATTAACGTGACCTAAACGAGCATGCCATAGCATGGCATTATCAATTGAAGAAGTAAATGATGCAGATGATACAAACACAGAATTTCCAACAGAAGATAAAGTATCAACCAAATTCAAGCAAAACATACGATTAGTAAAATAACCAAAACCAACAAACGTGCCAAATCGAGATAAAATAAATTTATCCGATTCAAAGACTTGCTTAAAGCCATCAGAATTTAAACAACCACCACTAACAAGGTTCTTACTAAGCCTAGGAACAAATAAAACATCAGACAACTTTATTGTTTTTCCCGAAGTAAACGTAAGACTAACAACTCCAAAGCCACAAATTGGTTGACTCGACTTATCACCCATCATCACCGTGGAACCATCATCAACTGGTGTCAATTTCTCGAACCATCGACGATCTTTACACATATGACTTGTGGCACCCGAGTCAACCCACCATGTACGGTCATCATCCTGTACATAAAAAGAACCAGGAATTAGTGAACAATAATTCTGAGTAGAATTATAAAGAGGGTTAGAAAGATTCTGACCTCCTCTAGATGCAGTAGAGTCCTTAGGCCCACTGTTTCCACCACCACTGTTTCCTCCACCACTATTTGCAGCATTTTTCTTATTGAGATTCACCCGACAATCACGCTTAACAAGACCCGTCTTTTGACATCTCCAACAAACCAGATCCTTAGGATTCTTATTTGGTTTGTCTCGGCTATCATTCTTGCGTTTGATGCCTTTTCCCTTGTGATTTTGATTGTTTTTGTTTACTTCAACCATGTGGACAGTAGGCTGTCCAACATCAGGCTTTGCCTTATTTTTGTCACCTTCTTGAATGCGGAGTGATTCCTCAATTTGTATGTGACTACCGAGTTGTAACAGAGACAACTCTTCATTCCCATGTTTCAGATCACGCTTGTAATCCTTCCATGTTGGTGGTAATTTTTCAATTATCATCGCTACTGCGACGCACTCATCCATCTTCATATTATGTTGAGTGAGTTGTGTAAGGAATAAATGTATTTAGATTTTGATGATGCTAGGTTAATTAGAATTTGAAAGTACCCCATTAGAAATTATGTATTAGAATTTCTTTTGTAAGTTTTAGCTTAGTCTGCCTGCCAGAGTTCCATCTTGCCTCTACCAGAGTTGCTCCCAGAGTTGCTCACCAGAGAAGCCATCAGAAACTGGTTATCAGAAAGATACCAGAGTTGGCACCAGAGACGGACTTCAGAGACTGGACCAGAGAACCTCTTGAGACTCTGCTAAGTATCATCAGATTCCGGAAGCCCTTCCAACGGTCGTTAAACTAACGGGAAATTCCCTAACGGTTACGAACCTTTCAACGGAAGCATGGCACTGTACACGCATTAAATGCACATTTAATGCTGTACGTACGAAGAGATATTTAAAGCTGATGATTGACCATGCGAATATCTTTACGCCCCCAAAATAGCAAGTCGGAGGACCAAACGGTCAAGTCAACAGTACACGCATTTAATGAAGCTGTCTTCTACACTCCAACGGGAAGACCGCTCCCAGTATATAAGATACACTCTGAAGAACAAAGAAGATAACTTTGCCATAACCTTTGCCAAGATAGATTTGCGTGAACAACTTTCTTGAGATCAAAACTCCATTTTTAACAAGAAAAGGCCACAGTTGGAAGATAAACATTCCTATCCTTCATCCAACTAGCAAAGGCAAAGTTACTCAGTTCTTCAACACTTCGAGAGCTTCATATACTCATCTTTTGTGAAGAAGCAACGTTGGAGAAAACTGATTCTATATCAAACACTTCTTGAAAAAGAAGGGACGTCTCAAATTAGCTGGAGTAAGTGAAGTGGAGATACTTCAAGAGACTCAGTGAAACGAGACCAGCCATCAGGAAGCAGGACTGCATCCCGGGTGGCAACTAGACTTGAAGAAGACGAGGAGTGCTTCTTAAGTTCTAGGGACTAAGGCGTTGTAAACTGTCGTTTTTGCAAGCTTAGTGGAACAGTGGACTAGAGGAACGAGTTGTTCCTTGAACCACTATAAAAACCCCGGTGTCATTTACTTTCAGCTTTTACTTTCTGCACTTAAGATTCTACTGACTAACTCTTTAGGTTGGAATCTGTGTCCAGCAGATCTTCCTTCAGAGTTATCAGAAAGGCATTTTGCCTTAGCTTTCTTCTAGAGGCTACCCGGACAGAAACTTATCCGCTGCCTGGTCTAGTTCTGCCATCAGAACTTGACCATCTCTGTCACCAGATTTCGACCATCTCTGTTAAGTCAGACTTGACTTGGAGAAAAGTTTAAATTCCTGAACAGTCTATTCACCCCCCCCCCCCCCCTCTAGACTGTTCCCATTACAAACGGGACCAACAAGTGGTATCAGAGCCTCCTTGTTCTTGTAATCTTTTAGGTTACTTACTAAACAAGAGATCCACTTGTTTTAGCCTCTTTAATCTCATATTATGGATAACACTCTTTCAAAGAATCTTATGTTCTCAGTAACAAAGTTTGATGACTGGAGGATCCGCATGAAAGCTCACCTCTGCGCACTCCATGACGAAATGTGGGAAGTTCTTGATGCAGGACCTTTCACAGAGTTCACCAAGGTCAACCCTGAATACATCACTGGTAGTGGTCAACCCCAGATGATCACCAAACTGCGCCATGAATGGTCTAATGAAGAAAGGAGAAAGTACAACCTTGACAACATTGCCAAGGATATCCTCTACAAGGCCATTGATGACAAGTACTTCACCAGGATCAAGAAGTGCAAATCTGCCAAGGAAATCTGGGATACTCTCACCCTGATAGGAGCTGGAGATGAGCAAGAAAAGGACAACAAACTTACTATTGCCATGAAGAAGTTTGAAGATTTCAAACTTCTACCCAAAGAATGCATAGCTGAGATGTATGCACGCTTGCTCACCCTCACTGCTGAGATATCAGAACTTGGGAAGGAGCTTACTCCCAAGGAGATTAATCTGAAGGTTCTCAGAGGTTTACCTTCACCATGGAAGATGAAGGTCACTGCCATGAGAGATAGCAAGGACCTCAGAACCTACAGCACTGAGAAACTCATCTCTGATCTCAAGTCTTATGAGTTTGAGATGAATGAAGAAGAGAAAGAAGAAGTTGAGGACAGAACAACTACTGCCCTCACTGCCAGCACCTCTCAGGTAAATAATTTTGACCCTTCTATTCTTTTAACTGACGAATATATGGCGGCTTTTGCTAGGAAGTTCAGGAAATTTCTGAAGCCAAAGGATAGCAGAAGTCCACACTCTAGCAGAAAGCCACACCAGAAGTCCAAACCATCAGAAAGTAGTGGAGAGCTTCTCTGCTACAACTGTAGACAACCAGGGCACTTCAAAGTCAATTGTCCACACCCCATAGTCTCCAAAAGGCAAGGCCAGGAAGGAGAAAAGAAGTACGAGCACCGAAGAAGGAAAGCACTCATCACTGAACAACCAGAGAAGGACCCCCTCTCTGAGATAGAGTCCAGCTCGGAATCAGAATCTGATGAAGCATTCTGTTGCCTGGACACAGAAACTGAAGACCTATGTCTTATGGGTCAATATGATGATGAGGTATCTTCTACTTCCAACTCTAGTTTTTCTTCGGTAGGCAGAGCCTTTGATTCTGATTCAATGTCAGAATTTTGGGAAGAGTTTCAAGCCATACAAACCACTTATTCTTCTGTTAAAGAAGAAAACAGTAAGCTTAAGGCTGAGATCCTTGACTTAAGAAAGGAGGTTGAGATCAAAATCAATCTTCTGATTGAGGAAAGAGATCAGCTGGAAGCTGAGAATGTTTCTCTTCTAAAGAAAATAAGAGAGATAGAGCCTCTTGAGATTAAGTACAAAGCTTACCAGAAGGCCCAGTCTTCTATGGAAAAGATTGTACTTGACCAACAAATTGGCACTGGTTTTTGTCTTGGTTATGGCTCAACAGAATCAGGTGAGCCTTCTGTAATGCCTAGCACCAGAGTTGCTAAGGCAGACAAGGTCATAGTGCCACTGATTTCTAGGCCCATTTGTCAGGCTGGTGTATCTGGCACCAAGGTTATTCATGAGAATGTCAGACCAGAAAGGGAAAAGATAAAGGTTCAACAGAAACCCATTTTAAAAGTTAATGAACCTGGCAGAAGAACTAACAACAGGAAAGATTTTCAGAATACCAAAAATCAAAGACAGAACCATAACAGACAAACTCATGATAATCGTGTCAGAGATGATCACCAGAAAGGCAGATATCAAGAGAAAATTAACTTTAGGCAGAAAAGGTTGGCTGGTCAACTTAAGAAGCCCAAAGTTAATCGCTCCTCTGATCTTGATAGTATATGGGACTTCTATCCAACTAAAAAGGCTATGCAGAAGTATGTAAACCGGAAGCATGATCCTCACAAGCATCTGCCCAAAGTAAATCACACTTCCGTTTACTATGACTACCAGGTGGACAATGGGTACCACCCACCAAGGTTTCACTTGATGAGACCAAAGTGGTACCGGCTGCAAAGACTGCATAACCCCCTAGGACCCAACATTGCTTGGGTACCTAAATCTTCCTTTTAATTTTGTAGGAACTGTGTGCTGGAGCCATCTCTGAGCAAGATTGGTACATTGATAGTGGATGCTCCAGGCACATGACAGGTGACAAGAGTTGCCTAACAGAGTTCCAGAAAGTCAAAGGGCCCAGAGTTACCTTCGGAGGTAATGATAAAGATGGCCAGACAAAAGGAAGAGGGAAGCTGATAAAGAACCAGATAATCATTGATGATGTCTCTTATGTCAAGGGATTGAAATTCAACTTGCTGAGTGCTAGCCAATTCTGTGACAAAGGCTACACAGTTGAATTCTCTAAGGAAGGATGTTCTGTCAAGCATGAGACAACTAAAGAAGTGGTTCTAACAGCAACAAGAAAGAAAAACATCTATGTGGTTGATTGGTCAACTGCAAAAGATGGAATTTGCCTGATAGCCAAAGGAGATTCAAAACTCAGTTGGGAATGGCACAAGAAACTGAGTCACTTGAATTTCAAAACAATCAACAAACTGGCAAGGGATCACATTGTTGAAGGTCTACCCAACCTTGTATACAAAAAGGAGAATCTATGCAGTGCATGTCAGAAAAGAAAACAAGTGAAAAATTCCTTCAAACCCATTGCTGGAAACCTATCTACTGGTCCTCTGAATCTAATCCACATGGATTTATTTGGACCAGTGGAAACTCCAAGTGTTGGTGGCAAGAGATACACCTTAGTCATGGTGGATGACTACTCCAGATTCACATGGACTATCTTTCTGACCAAGA